CAAAAAAAAAAGAAAAAGAAACGCTTCTTGTTGTAAGAGAACTTTGTATATAATCCCAAAGCCTTTTCTTTCTATGCATCCTTCAAGATTACATTACTTAAAACTTATTACATAATCCTAGAGCGGTTTCTTTCCATGTTCCCTAAAAAATTACATTCATTTCCCACTAATGCTCAATTAAAAGCAGCAGTTAACTACCCTTAATTGCTTAATCTATAAAAACCAGAACAAATGAACGGTCAAATTGCATACCACATTATCACATCCATCACCTATGGATACTAGTTTTATACCCCTCCTCATCTTCTTCTTCCTCCTCATGACCTCATCACCAGGAATCAGTGCCACCACGCTCTCAGACTCTGCGCCCCCGGTCACGGCTCCTCTGAAAACACAGTTTGTGTGGGAACCCATAGAGATAACCAACATGGGTCAATTCGAGTACTTCGTGTCATGCGGTCCGGATGAGTTTGTGAACAATTTGGCTCCTCAACAGAGTATAAGCTATATGTTCAAAGTTGTTGATCCAACAATCTTGAGGTGTTTCGTACAAAAACATAACAAGAGCATTCACATGAACGTTGTGGAATGGGGACCTCAAGGGGTTTTCTGTCCATTTCCTAGAAGTAGATGCAAGAATACTTGTAGGTTTAGGATAATTGATGATAAAAGATATGATGTTTACGATGAATATCAAAACAATTGGGTACCTAGTTTGTATTCACCCGAAAGTACCAGCCAACCATGTAACGAATAAAATGGACTCTAATGAGCTAGTCCTTAATTTGCTTCAAGAAATTTGTAATAGACATGAACTTTTCGTGTCCAATAACTAGTTTATTTTATTTGCAAGTTTTTTTTAAGTATTTTTTGAATATTATTACAATTTAAAAAATGCAAAATGTAATATTTGTTTAACACAATTTTTTTTAAAGCAATAAAGTTGAGTGACAATGGTGTTGAAAACATGGCTGTTCAATTTCCTCTCTTCTCCATAGTTGATGGGTCGACAATTTGACAAAATTGAGTACCTTTAAAATTTATATTTCATATGGTACGTAATTTATGTTCTAACTCAATTTCACCAACTACTTTCCAATTTGGTCTAAATTTAACTTGTAATTCATCAAAATATTATCAATTTGAAATCGGAAATTATTGATAGCTTTGAATGGAAAGAAGAGAAATTTTTTAGTAGGTTTAACATACTGCAGTGTCGTATAATGTGTACATCTAATGAGAAGAAGTTGTCATAAAAACAGCTTGTGAGACACACAATTTCAATGTTAAGAGTAATATTATTTAGGCCTAAATATTTGACTTAATTAATTGACCTAATAATATTATTTTATTAAAACTATTGAATTAACACTAAATTTTAATATATTTAACCGCATCCCCAATAGTATTTATATTCTTTATTTTATGTAAATCGCTCTTCTAATGTAGTGATTGTACATTTTTTTTTCTCTCTTATGACAATTATTTTTTTGCATAGAAAATTACTTAAAAAAAAATGTTATCGAACAACTTTTTGTTACTCATTTTGTAGGTTTATAGTGTTGCGTGGGTCTCCAGGGTTCTACTCATATGCAATATTTGAGCGCTTAGAGGGATGGCCTGACATAAATATGTACGAAGGGAGGATTGTATTCAAGCTCAAAGAAAACATGTATGACACACAAATTATTATATTAAGAATAATAATTCATTACGATATCATCATCAGCATTATTATTTTTTATTTTGTTTACTTATTCGCGTAAAACATATTTAATTACAGGCCTATTATCATATGCTTGATTACCCACAAACATTTTTCCTTTTTTTGTTTGTTTCCTACTAGCAACAAGAACAGAAAATTTTTCAATTTGAATTTTTGATAAATTATACTTTAACCGCTTTAACTATCTATGTGTGTTTGTCTCATGTTGCTCTCTTAATTGTTATATTTATCACATTACACTTCTTACTATAGTATGTTTAATGATAATGTGTTGTATAATTAGGTTTCAGTTCATGGCTATATCGGATGAAAGGCAAAGGATAATGCCAATGTACAAAGACCGTCAAACAGGTCAGGTCCTCGAGTACAAAGAAGCTGTTTTACTAACAAATCCAGAAAATCCATTCCTCAAAGGAGAGGTAAGAGAGCCTTTTATTTCACTCGCCTACTTATGTTGTGGAATCGTAACAACTTGGCTTGTTTGTTGATCCTCATTCTCTCAATTTCAAATTTTGCTAAGGTCCGTTAAAGTTCAATCATCCATCATATAAATTCATTGTGTTTCATAACTATGGTGGTCGGGTCGGTCTTACACCAAACCGGGCTTACCCAGTGCGTCAATAAAAGAAACAAATCTGTTCCAACATATTTTTTTTTTGGAATTTAGTGGTGAGATGTATTGGGTTATGGGCCAAACATCTCTGTCTGGCCAACAAAGGCCCATAACCCTACTTGTTGGACTAATTCTGGTCCAGCCCGTGAGCCGTGAACCATATCTAGTGTTCCACATATAAAATCATCGCCGGGGTCAATGAATTGAAAATGATGATTGANATGCATTGCTTAGCACCAAGTTTGTCAATTGATTGAGTTTTGATTCGAAATCGTTTATCCAAATATGGATTTGAACAAACTTCTGACCAGCAAATCGATTTGAATTTGGATATAAAAAATCCAATCCGATTATAATTTTGATTTGAATTTTACTATAATGATAAAACTAAATAGTAATGTGAGGAATTTGTATCAAAATTTGTAGGTAATTTTTCAAAATTCGGTGCAACTAAGTTACCCGTATCAAATATTTTGAACCAGACTTCAAATTGTCAAATATATGAATTGGATTGGGTTTGTATTTAGAGTGGGAAAACCCCGATATAAATCTGATCCATTGACAAGCATAATTATCCCCCATCAAAGAGAACATGCAATAAGTGGGAAAGGGCTCATGCTTTGAGAGGAGAAGTCCTTTTTTTTTTTTAAACCAGCATTGCTTAAGTGGGTGTTTTGCANTTATCCGATCAAAGGTAAGTTATCCACACAGGAACTAGGGTACTCATGAATAATAAATCACTCATGATGTAATTCCAAATAATTATCAAGATTTGAACTAAGATAGTGCGTAAATTTTGAGTTTTTACCTCCCAAGTACTCCTCTATTCCTATATTTGAAATTCGTCTCTAATCTTTCCCCTTAGTGCTTGCTGAGACTTAACAGTAAAACCCAAAGCATCATCAGTTTAGCGAAACATCATTTGATCCCTAATTTTTATTTTATTTTTTTGTCGGTGCAAAAATTTCTATTGTTCAATATTGGGCTTCTTTGGGGATGATTTTTTTAGTTTTTGGAGGATAAAGAGGAGAACAAGTCTGATCCATTTGGACTTGGGCTTGTTGGACAACTTTTCCATTAATTTTTTGAACAAAAATAGCTTTTATCAGCACCAAAGAAAAACTGAAAAAATAAAGTTTATCTAAGGACTTCTAAGGAAAAATTGACTTTTTCAAAAATACTTCAAACAATTTTAAGAGTTTTTTTAACTCACATTTTTTCATTTCATTTTTCAAATCTCTGTTTTGCATCCAAAAAAACTAACCTCAATCGGACCCAACGGACAGATGCTTTTCTTCATTCTTCGATGCACAACACTTTATTAAGTTTTTTTTTGGGAAGGTCACTTCATTTACCACTTAAAACAAGCTCTGTTTACCATTTTGCCTTCAATTTTCAGTATTTCTTTAGTACACATTATGCCGGAAAATCTTTGGGAATCAAATTCCGTGGCGGAGAGCCATGGAAGAAGGTTTTTGGTCCTGTTTTTATCTATCTCAACTCCGTTCAACCCGATGAGGATCCTCTTACACTCTGGACAGATGCTAAAGAGCAGGTATTATTTTGTCGATCTTGGATTGATTGATTTGTTATTATTAGTTACAAAAAATTATATAAAATAAAATAAAAAAATAAAAAAAACTTTACAAGTATAATGCATTTATTGGATAATAAGAAATAGAGGTATACTATCGAAAAATTAATCATTAACTCTTGTAACTATAATTTTTTCCCCCCAGATGTTTATAGAAACAGAAAGCTGGCCATATGATTTTCCACTTTCAGAAGATTATCATTTTGCAGGTCAACGTGGTTCAGTTACCGGACGATTGCTGGTTCGCGATAGGTACTTCCATGGATTGTGTTGTGTCAAGTCATATTAGTTGTGTCGCGCAAATTAATTAAACATATATCAATCCATTTCTAGCCATCTAAAGTTGTGTTTGGTCTAGTCTATAAGCCACATTAGTCAAATTCATAGTGTGTCTATGCAGGTTATTGTTGGCTCAATTCATAAATAAGTTTAGTGGATCAACCCGCTTATAACCTGATATCATAAAAACCAAATTCATACCTTTTAATTTCGTTTCGATTTCGAGCATCATGTAATCAATTGTCAGCCCTCTTATTGAGTAGTGTTAATATTCTTGTGCAGGTACTTTAACAAAGAGATTATGGCAGCAAACTCTGCTTATGTTGGGTTGGCTCCACCAGGAGATGCCGGATCTTGGCAAAGAGAAAACATGGTTACCTTCTTGCTGCATTGATTTATTTTTATTTTTTATGGCATTGTTTGACTAATAAGGTGTAAAATTGTTCTCAGGGTTACCAATTTTGGACTCAAGCTGATGTTGAGGGGTACTTCTCGATTAGAGGTGTCCGAGCTGGGAATTATAGCTTGTATGCTTGGGTTCCTGGATTTATTGGAGACTATAAATACAATATTTATGTTAGCGTTACGCCAGGTTTGCCTCCAAATTTGAACCCAAACCCAAATCTGAATCTCAATCCATCAGCGCTATCTTTTTTGTTTTTTGGCTTTTAACTTAAGAAAGTATAAGGGTAAATTATACTTTAGCCCCCCAAGCTATGGACTTGAGTTCACTTTGCTCATTGAACTATTGATTTTTTTACATGCTCAACTATTTAAATTATTTCACATTGTCCCAATTGAAAACGTATGTTATCTTTTTGGATGAAAATTCTTGACATGTTGGACAAAGTGAAAAAATTTACACAATTCGGGAGGCAAAATGAAACAACCTTTTGATAAATATATAATGGACGTTGATAATTGGGGCAATGTAAAACTAATTAAATAGTTGAGGGCGCAATATAAAAAATATAATAGTTGAAGGACAATTATAAAAAAAGGGTCAGTTGAAGGGGTTAAAATAAAATTTGCCCAAACTATAATGGGGCTGCATATTCTACAAGTTTAGGGTGAATGTATTTTTAACTGGGATTATGCGGCTATGTACATGTAAAATTGACTTATGACATACATATATGGTTGAAAAACAGGAAGTAGAATCAGGTTAGGCAATCTAGTATACAATCCTCCAAGAAGTGGTCCAACATTATGGGAAATCGGCATCCCAGACCGTACTGCAGCAGAGTTCTACGTGCCTGACCCTAACCCGACTCTCATGAACAAGTTGTACATCGATCGGACAGACAAGTTAGTTAGCACTCATCAACCAAATTGCTCACTCATTTTAACTTGTTAATAAGGTAACATTTGGTTTTTTATCGAACAGGTTCAGGCAATATGGACTGTGGGATCGGTATTCAGAAGTATATCCTGATGAAGATCTGTCCTACACAGTTGGTGTTAGCAATTACCAGACGGACTGGTTCTTTGCTCATGTCAACAGGTGTTTGATAATTATTTTTTTTGAGGACAACTGCACTTTGACTCCCTCAACTATGCCATATTTCTCTTGTTACTCCTTCAATTATCATGTTTTTTTAACATTGTACCTCCAACTGCGGTTATTAACTTCACACGACTTAGTGATTATGCCGATGCTAATTTTAAACATTTATTGCAGGAATACAGGAAATAAAACTTATATACCATCAACATGGCAAATTTTATTTGATCTCGAAAACATTGATGAGTCTGAAAATTATACTCTCCAACTGGCATTGGCGTCAGCTAATGAAGCAGAGTTGCAAGTATAAGTTTTTCAGGTTCGGATTACAAAACTGAATAATTCAATATATTATTTTACTAATCGACATTCTAATGAATTTTTCAGGTTCGGATAAACGACGGAGAGGCGGCAGACCCACACTTCACCACCGGGGTAATCGGCAACGACAACGCCATTGCCAGACATGGGATTCATGGGTTATATTGGTTATTCAGTGTAGATGTACCTGGCAGTATACTTCACAATGGAAACAATACAATCTATCTGAAACAGTCCAGAGGCAAAATCCCTTGGAAAGGACTCATGTATGACTATATCCGTTTAGAAGGACCATCTGAATCAAATTAAAATAGGTTCAGGATACGATTGAGTATATTTAACCCTTCTCATGTAACATAGTGGCGGGAGTCTCGTGAAATGAGGTGCCCTTAATTATGAGTATGAACGTTACATTTTTCTTTGCTGACAGAAATAAAAGAAATGAGTATAGATAGTAGTTTCATTTCGTAGGAGGCAGCTAGAGCCAGTTGTTTAAGACTCGACCATTTTTTAAGAAAATGTATTTCACTCTGTTCACACTCTTACATTGAGCAATTATCGAAACAATGTCATTCAAATAGATAATTTATTTTTTGATATGCAGTGATGTGAATAACACCATCTTACATTCAAAATTCCTGCTAACATTAATTTTTGAAAAATAATTTTGATGCATAAATAAATTTTAATTCTTTTTCTTTAGGTCTTTAATCGATAACATAGAAAACTTTTGGTCCCATATTTCTTTTTATCGAGTACTACAAATTATTAAATAATGTGATCATAATGAATCACTCAATAAGGAAATAAGAAGATGAAGTTCATCAAAGAAAACTTATTCCCATCCCTCCCTGGCTCACAAAAAAATAAAAAGAGAAAAAGAGAAACTAGTAGTAAAAGGCTTAAAGCTAAAATTATTAATAATTCTAGAAATGTAACCTATGATCTTACTAGTTCGAGGATGCAACCTAGTCTCTTGAATTGTGAAATGTGACTTCTAACCTCACAAATTTCATTTAATCTCATTTCCCTGTTTGTTGTTACGTCTCAATTAATTAACCAATCTCTTCCCACTCTAGAAAACCCTATATATGATAGTCAACCATATGTAGCACCTTCTCGACTACAATTCAGAAACAAATATAGCAAGAGTACTTTAACAGTAAAATCTCCTAACCTCATATCATTGCCCAAAATGCACTAAATGTTCACTACTCACTGAAAAGGAACGTTTTCCATGAAGTACTAATATTGAATAGGGTCATTAATTCAACGATCTAACCTTACCCAATAAAACCCGTTTGGATTTGAACCTAAGTACTCTTAAGTCTTTTTTTTTTCTCTTTGGGTGGGCGGTGGATATTTAGACACTATTAATGACATATGCCTAACAGCAAACTCGTTTTCTTAAAATTATTTCTTCCGCACTTATAGTAAGTCTTAATATAGCATAAGTCATTTCCAGGACTAACCTATACTTTAGTTTACATCTCCCTTCTCCCTATAATTCTCTCTCTCCTCTGTCATTTTCATTTGAGTCTTTCCCGTTTCTCAAATTTTCATTTTTGTTCCACCAATTTGATTCATTCTTCTTGTTGAATTGATAACGGACCATGTTTTATATATATTAGCAAAGGATCTACTTATATAAAAGGGATACTATTTTTACTTTATAATAAGTAATCCAGTAAGGTGGGAGATGAGGGAAACAAATATTCGAGGCGGGGGTCACCCTCAAGTTTGCCCTTAAGTCTAGGTTTATTGGTCGATTAGCTTATAAACTCAAATAAGGGAGTTCTCGTCAAACAACCCCTATGACCAGTCTACCGAAAAAGTCGATAGCCGTTTACCGCATAGACTTTTATCATATAACTTCTCATTGATTTTTTTTTTT